CTGTGACTTGTATTATGATGCTTTATAAACAAAAATATAAAACAGGAGGAGGATTGGAGGATTTTTGACTTTTTTTTGTTGTTAAGTACTGTTGGTTGAAGGTGACACTTCTTATCAAACAACTGACCTGTTTGTTTTCATTTGCTTCGGTTTGTGTGTCACAAATCAATGAGGACAGTCGAATGTGTGCAAATAAAATTTAGGTAATTTGTCAGTACAGTGTCTTTAGTAGCAAAATGTCATGTGCACTGAATACGTTCCATCCTCTAATCATGACAACGTAAACAAGGTACACTAAAAATCTGAACAAACTTTGGAGTGCAGTGGAAACTAAAATTTGGTGCAGCTGGACTGAGAGTGGATTACATGTTGACTAGCAACAACAAGCCCTTCATAGTAAAACAAAAGGCTTTAGTGTGATTTGGACCAGAGCTTCAGGTCAGACCATTCATTCATAGATTTTTAAAAGTACTCATTTGACAAAGCAATTAAATGAAAAACCGTTTAAGTCCGATGCATTTTCATTTTGAGTTGAAAATATCAAAAGCCATAATTTCCAGGTAAACGCGTGGAAATAAATGGAATATGGACTCAAAAGGATAAATCCAGAATTGTTTAAGAATTTCATAACTTTGAGTTCTCATAAAGTTAAACGGTAAATTAAACTATAATTTATGTCAAAATTCTAACTTATAACTACACTAACCACCCCTCTTTTCACCCAGTGTCAGCTGGGAGTAGCTCCAGACCCCCTGTGACAGTCTGCAGGATAAGGCCCTATAAATGATGGGAGAACGGGACAAAATTCAACTGAGGCTAATGAGATTAGTTTTTTGTCATAACTCAAAGTATTGACCAATTAAAATTTGATCTGAGAAAAGTGAAGGGGTCACCAGAGTCATTAGGATTCATCCTCTGGGGACAAAAATGCCTGTACAAAATGCCATGACACTCATTTCAGTCAGGACATACAACATAAAATTATCAACCCAAATCTTTAATTTGTCTTTTAGTTTTCCCAACAGGAACGCTGTTTTGTTAATCAATGTAAGGCAAAACAGAATGATTTTCCATGTCACTGTTGCTGCTTTAGTGCTCTAATTGCTGGACAAACTGGGATTACTGGGTTAAACAAAATCAAAGACAAAGGGAAAGAAAGCCTTTGACAAAGCATCTCTCTGTCTGTGCAGCCAGAGCCAGGCTGGCACACAAAGCCAGCAACTCGTGATGGACCAGGACCAAGACAGAATCAGGGTGACCTACCTACAGCTCCTCTGAGTCCTAGGTGCTCGCAAGCGCTTCCCTGAGAGGTATTGGATCCTCTCTGTGTATGTACACAACCAGTACTGTTCATATGTCTTTAGATTTGTCTTTTCTGTAATGAAGGAGGAGCTTTTGCTTCTCAACAATGAAATTAAATGTTCTTTGTATAGATTAAATGTTTCTCTTCTTGTCATTGATGGTCTTTTATTTATGCAACAGCATTCATATCTCTCAAATATACAGAGCACCTGGTTAACAATGTCCTGTTCTTGATTCTGGATCAGTTGACAGCCAGCATCTCACACTGAGTCACAATCAGTGGTCGTCACCAACAGGATCTTATTCACCATCGCCTTTGCATGGTGGATCGATACTCACAGGATGTATTGAAGCAGCAGCCTCATCATAGCTTTCTCTCCTCATTGCTGCAGTCCAATAATCTGGAGTGTCCATGGTGATGTCTCCGAGCAATCCCGCAAACCCCTGCTATCCTGTGTTGCAGTTTGTGTAATCAGTTGGTAGTCTTCCCTTTGCAAAGTGGGGATGAAGCAGTCTGTGTCCCACTTTGAGGTCTCTGCTGTGAACATGCTAGGGAGCGCCTGCAGAATGACGACTTCTGTCCTGCATACCTTTATTTAACTGGTGCTAATGAGGGTTGGAACAGTGGAGGCCTGGCTGGAATGCAAAACATGAGAGGGGTTTTTGTGCCTGACCTGGGCCTGTAGTTCCAGTCTGATCCAAACCCAAAACCTCCCACCCTCCATTCCCAACCCCTCAACATCAGCCCATACGCCCTCTCCCTGCCTGTGCTGTTACACTCCAACGAGGCAGCTTCCCCCCCATAAAGAGATCCCTGTCCGTCCCATCCAGCCTGCGGCTTCACCGCCATTTCCAGGCTAATGAGGGTGAGATGATTTAACAGGCAGCGCCTCTGAAAAACAGGGTCTCAATGGCTATGCTCACATTACCTGCTGAAATTACCCAAATTATATTCTGCGACTCAGATCAGATTTTTTTCATGGAGGTGTGAACAAACCAAATCAAATTTTTCTATATCAGATCTGAGCCATTTGTTGTTGTCCTATATCCTATTCATCTCTGAACTCTGAGTGTGGCCTCTATCACAATTCATGCACATGGTTGTTTTAACATCTTGCTCCTCTGCATATTGACTGTCATCATCATTGGCACACCAGCAACAACAGTGATAAATCACAGAGAATTAGAGCGTGCGGGAAATACAAAGCCCTCAGGAGCCATGTACCACTGCCCATTGTGGAAAATGAAGAGGAAGGACACGACAGTGTTTGGGGCCCAAGCAACAAGAAAACCCAGGCTGATGCAGAAAAACATCTGGAAGAAGAAGTAGCAGATTATAGAATGTTATTACTGCACTGGAATCACTTATATAAATAAACTTAATGAATCATTTCTCCTAGTCACAGAGGGGTATAGTTGTGTAAACATGTTTCCTGGGAGACTATTCTCTTTGAAAAAACAAAAGCAATGGTCATGTGGGCAGTGGTGAGTAATGACTTTCCTCTCCAGTAAAATGACAGTATCATCACATGTTCAAATTAGTTAAAATGTTGTTTATTTTCAGGAGCAGAGCAGGAAATCCTGACTTGTGTTTATTTTCAGTAGCAGAGCAGGAAATCCTGACTTGTTTTAATACAAAGACGAACCTCTTTAAAACATGTGACTTAGTCATGTTAGTCAGGGGTTAATAATATCCACTCACCCATGACCAATTTTTAGAAGGGTTAACTCGACCGTTAGAAGAAAAGCTGGTCCTACTTCAACCGCTTGAGGTTATTGGTACCCTAACCCCTGCGCTTATTCTATTATAATGAGTAAAAAAAACAAACAAAAATACTCTATTTTTGATTTGCTTGGTTCACCAAAATGCAGTGCAAATGGCTTTTAGACAATGCCATTCTCACACGACCCTGGGCAGGTTTCTGTCACGGCTTAGTTTGAAGGCCAGTTATTCATATCACTCATATACCTTTTTCACAGCATATAGACTTGTCATAGCAGAAAACGCACAGGTGGAAATAATGGCCTTAAGAACAGCTCATTCCAGCAACGCAGAGCAGCAGTTAATGACATTATGAGCTACACGTGTAACTCAAGTCAAAATGCCTGTAGTGAAAATTAACAAATGACTTACAGTAGTTTTGTTTTAATTCAAGTGCCCATCTGACATGGGTTAAAAAAAAACACTACTTAGATTTTTCACAGAGACAAGAGGAAGCAAAAAGAAAGCAAGCAAGCGCACAGTAGGGTCCTGTATACATGTCAAAGACATAGATAAACAGGCAGCAAATACTTTTACATGAAGTTAATTTTGTTGACAAAAAAGTGTGGATGCTGAGTCAGCATTAGGTGGAAGCTGGGTGGAGCTCTGCTAGTAATTAACTGTAGAGCTGAAGCAACCAGTTGATAGCTATATACTCACTGGAAATAAGTCATTAGCATTAGTTTGACAAACATATTGCTCTCCAGTTTGTGGTTCATTATGTGAGTTTACAAGTAGTTCATCGGCTGTTACCTTTTTGAAAAACTATTGAACGTGGCATCTCTTCTTTTTTTTTCCAAACATTTAACTCTGTATTGCTCTAACATCAGTTTTGTCGATACCTTTTCTGGTTGGTGGTTTTTGCATATGTCAGATATCATAGTTAAAATCACAATACATGAAACAACGTGCGCTGTCCTTGGTGCTGGACAGAGCCCTGAACAACAACTTTCGTGACATAAATCACATACCATAATCTGTTATAACAAACTGAATGTGTATTCTGGCTATGATGCACAAGACTCCAGAATCTGAAACACTGACCTCAACATCGACCCCATCCATCAGTAACAGTCTGCAGAAACATGCTTCAATGTAGTTTTCACTATACATTTATTTCAGTTACAATTTTCATGAATTAAGATTTTACATAAAGTGTGCTTAAGAAATACCTGATGCTTCTTTGACAGTAGTTTACATTTCTATGCCTCTGCACAGGCGACAGCTGTGGCTGGGAAAATAATTCTACACGGTGTCAACCTATACACTTGACCGTACAATTCAATTAATCTGTATAGCACCAAATCACAAGTCATCTCAGCACACTACATAGTAAAGTCTAGATCTCATCATCAGTATAGAGAAAACCACAACAAATCCTCTTTGAGCAAGCACTTGGCGACAGTGTAGTGTAAAACAAAACCTCAAAAGTAAAATTAACCAAGTAGCCTCCTATACGGTGACCACTGTTGTTTTTAATTCACCAAAATCTGGAGTCTTTTTGCTGTTCTTTTGGCTCTGTATGAGTTCTTTCCATACAAAGCCTGTTAGCCTTGAGACAATTCAGCCCACAGTATAATCTTGCTCTAAGAAAGTTAGAGTAAAACTCAGCAATAATACGTTCAATATGGCATCAACTTGTGTACTTGACAATCAGGCTTCATAGTATCACTACTGTCTGTGATGAGAACGACAATAGGACAAATACAACCAAACCGGGTGTCCACAAGCTTTTTTTCTTTAGAGTCATCTAAGCCATCTGTCTCTCCCAAGCTCCCTCCCAAGAACCCAAACGCACCCCGGGCTGGTACTGTGTAAACCAGGTCCAACGACAATGTAAATGTGAAACTGTCTCATCAGTCTATGATGGCTATATGGTAATATAAACATACATTGTGGCTGACAATCTTAAACAGATGACAAAGCAGTAGGAACCTATGTTAAAAACTATATTTAGGAACAAGGTCTTTCTACTTAAGGCAAAATTACCAGGAGAAGATAACATTCAAGAAATTAGTTTCATGATGCATGTTTGTTTATAACAAAGACAGACATACACTACCACAATTTTTTTTTTTTTGAAGGAGTTTGGGGACTTTGTATACAGGTCAATGTTACACGTGGCCAAAGAAGCAGAATGACAGCGAGCAGCAGCCTAAACTTATAGATGTTTATTGCAGTAAACCCATATTAATGTATTACTGCTACAACTTAACCGAGGCCTCCCAACATCCGGAAAATCTAATGAGCATACGAAAAGCTAAGCTGTAACCGCACCAGGCCTACTTGAAGCGTGAGACTCCCTCTTGTACATTTAAGTTAGTGCAGCTTGAGCTACACGGTATATTGAATGTTATGTTCATTCTTATAAAAGCAAAATTAACCTGCTGGATTGGGATTTTTGAAGGGAGTTTGGTCACTTATCAGAAAAAGACAAGCTTATAAATCGAAACAACGTGCGCTGTCCTTGGTGCTGGTTTATAAAATTCCTGTGACGCCCCCCCCCCCCCAAAGATTTTAAATGTACTCTAACAGATTATCTATGGGCTGAAAGAGCACTAGAGAAAGCCAGTGTCCCAAACAGTGGTACAGACAATTAATCTAATGTCTCAGAGTATAAAGTGAGCACAGAGGAACTGGCAGCTTCAGGCAGAGTTTATCCAAGTAACCAAAGCAGTGCAGGACTATTACAATACCCAACAGATTCACTGACTGTGTGTGACCCTGGTAAACGGGTGAGGGGCATGTGTAAGTCAGATGGTTAACAACTAAATTCCACCCCCGTAGGACATGAGACTAACACAAAATATATGGCCATGGTGGGTGTGCTGAACAGACAGGCAGTGAGAGAGAGAGAGAGAGAGAGAGAGAGAGAGCTAAGTCCCTTCAATACTTCCTTTAAGAGTATCTGGAGGTGCTACGGCAGCAAACTGGTACTATAAGTTGCCGTGGCGACCATGTTGGACAGAGACAAAAAGCTGCATCTTGTCAGTCCTCACCTTATGGGAGTAAAGTTGTAGGTTTATTCTAAATAAAATCAGCCTATATTAATTGTGTGGATGCTGAGTCCCAACTTCAGCTTTTCTTTTCATCTTACATAATTCAACATTTTCTTTTCATCAGCATTGCATCTCAGCCTTCACCTCATTTGAGCATTTTCAGGGTGATTCTTCAGAAATCAGCATCCACATGCATTTTCTTCAGGAAATGCATTTGTCTAGTTTCTGCTGCTGTACTCAGGCCTGTCCTCCAACATTTCCAAAAAATCTTTTTCAATAAGACAAACCAATTTAAAAAGTTTATACTGTGTGTGTGTATGAACATATTAGAGTATGAAAAGATCAACACTCAAAGAAACTTGTGTCTCATTAAGAGACCAGGAATAACAGCTCTTCTTTACAGTGGCCCAGGAGCTCTGTGCCGGTGACAGGCAGAAGAAATGACCTTGCGCCATCTGTTGACCTCCATGATGCACTGCAAATTCAACACACAATGGGAGGGGGGAAAAAAACAAACAAAACAAAAAGGTAGTTGTTCTTTGGGAAAGATAAAGTAGATTTTATTTGATACTGAAACCTAAATAGGATCTGTGAATACAAAACAGGTTCCCCACGCAGTTTCTGTGCTGGAATGCTGTACTGACAGAAAGGCATCGCAAAAGACTGGGCTAAAAAAAAACAAACACTGAACCTGAGGAGAGCAGACACAGGTTCAGAGGGAAACCATTCCATTTAAGCACTAATAAGTTATTTATATGATCTATATAGCAGGCACATTAAGTTTATGAACACAGGCTTACTAAAACATCAGAAGCCAGAGAACAAAAGCAAAGCCAAGATTATAGAGTCTGGACAGAAGAGACAAGTGATCTGACACTGCTGGTAAAAATTACTTGTGGGATTTTCTTGTATTAAGCATCATTTACTTGATATCACTACATCATCCCAGGAACCTTGTTTGGGTATAAAAACTCAAGATTTTATGAATACTCAAAATCAGCCTCCTGTGTATTATAAAAAAAACTACATAAGTGGCCAGAGTGTCTTTGCTTTTCTGCTTTGAAAGAGAAACATTTATGGTCATATAAGCTTTGATTGTATTTTCCTTCAAACAGCCTCCAAACTAACATACAGGGAGGGACATACGCACTAATCAGATATGCACTTAAACATATTTTACACCCCATCATAATCAATCTATATTCAAAAATATTTGTCTATACTCTGGAAAAAATATAGTACTGTAGGTCTCATATACTTTTATGTTAAACCTACTGTTTTAAACAAATAGTTTAACAGCCCTCTCGCAATACTTATTGTAAATAATCTAAACATGTTAGCTTCATGTTGTCACCAGATAAAAATGTTTAACACTCCAGTGATTTATAGAGTTATCAGTCCATATTTGGGATTAAGACGGAATCGTTTTTGGCCATGTTCTTCCCATTCTGCCTCTCTAATGGGATGCGACTGTCTTTTAGCTGCTGCTCCTGACAACTGCACTTTTATCTACATCAAAGGACACTAAATGTCTAATTTTGGGTCTGGTCCCATTTGCTCCAAATACTCACAAAAGCAAAAGCTTAAGGTTTTGCACCCAAGTGTTGGCAGTGATGTGAAAAAGCACATTAAAAAAAGACCTCTTTAAATAGCTCTCGTCTAAGTGCAGCACAGTCTGAAACATTAAATTCAAGTCATTATTTTTGCCCCTTCCATGTATCATACAGTGAATATAACAAAATCATTTTCAGTTAAGAAACTAAATGTGAAAGGATAAATCTTTAATCAAACACTATACTGCAGTCACACTGTAACACCCAAAGACAGTCTGAAGTTTAAATTGATGTTGCTGTCAAAGAAATGCTGGCATTCTAGGTCATTCGAAGAAGATTTAATATACTGTTGAGGCCTAATTTGTATTTTTCCATGTCCCTTAATCCTCCCCCGATGGTCCTGAACACGGTGTCAAACCATTGTGAAATTTAAAAAACCTGACATCTGGTGTCATTTGGCACATGGGGTGTTCTCACTGGCTGTCCCGCTGACGCCAGGATCTGCAGCAGCAGCAGCAGCAATGCTCTTCTCCTGGTTGTCATGATTATTGTTATTATTACTGTTGTTGTTATGGACACTCTGGAGACCGTGGTTGTTGTTCTGGACCACAGCAGTGTTGCTGAGCCTCAGCTCATCCAGCTTCTTCCACAGCTCATGCCTCTCCTGCTCCTTCTTCTTCTCCCTGGGAAGACAACATTTGAATACTTTTATTTATGTTTGCATTGGGAAAAAAAACCCAGCAGAACCAAAGCAGCAGCAGTTTGTTTTTGCAATGCCCCTATTTAGTCCCAGACTAGAGGTCAAACATATCCACAGTATTGAAGTCAATCCTAAAACACCACAACTTGATGTGCATCAAGTATTTATCAAAAAGGGGAACCAATACAAAAACACCAATTGTAATGGTGACCAAAATAAGCAGAAACAATGTTCTAACAATGGACCTAAAGTCACAGAAACTGATTTAAAAATTATTTATATTTATGCTTATTAGAGATACTGAAACACTCATGGCAGTAAAACAAGATGCCGCTGACCTAGTTTGGCTGTTCCTTGATTAACACTGCTTCTTTTGAACTCTATACAACAACGGCTGCACTCCATGTAAAATAACCAATGTTACTTAAAGTAACAGGTTGTGGCCTTAGCACGACATAGTCTAAGTAATTTATTTCATAGCTACCTACAGCTGCTTCATGAACGATTTTTTTCTCCATTAGCTGTTGTTAACGGCCAACACTGATCTTAATCCTCTTTGGCAATAGCTAAATGCTATAAAATGATCTTGTGATATTGCTGTTTTCTGAAGGAGCATTACTTCTGCCTTTTATAAATCTGTGTTGTTGTGCAAAATGCTCTAATTTCTTTATCACGGCTTTCATGACTTGGCTGCTCATGTACTACCATCAATGCAAGCCTGTCCAGCCACGAGAAATAAGGGTTAGTCCACACTTGTTACCTGTTTTCTCTCACTGTTTCCACTGACAGTTTCAGCCAAGGCAGACACAGCCGGCTGGCTTCACTAAAAGCTGTGAACCTGATTTGAAGTGATAATCTGCAATATCAGTGTTCAAATACACAGCAGTACCTTGAAAGTCTTTTAGCATTTTTCTTAACATCCCTAGCTTCAGTAAAACCCTTTATCTCAACAATGGCCCAGCAGAAGACAAACAACATGAGTATTTGGTCAAAATTCTGCCCTGTTTTTGCTACTCACTGTTGCCTTTCTGCTTTATAGGAGGAAGTCAACTCATCAAACAGTGTGCAGTTCATCTCCATCAGCGTCTTCAGCACATTGTAGACCAGAGCTACGATTGTCCTGCAACGCAGCACAGATGCTGACATCAGTAACACCACTATGAAACCTAACACCCAACACAGCATTAAGCATTAAGGTTAACTGAGAAGTTTTGGTGTTATCTGGGTAAAGTGACCTTTTAAATACACCAGAAAAAAGAGAATGTAAACCTCTCAACTCATATAAATGTGGACAACACACACGAGTCCATACTGTAACTATTTATACAAACAGTGTCATTTGTGGCTTCTCTTCATATAGCACGTGACAATAATAAATCGATTCTCTTCCTAACATGGCAGGTTTTCTTTATACAGCAGAGGATCTGAATACCCCTGGTGTTACCATGGCAATGCATTTGAACACTTTACTGTGTGTGTGAATGAATGTTAAGTTATTCGGACTGCTTGACCAGAAGAAAGTCTCGTTTGTGAGAGAACGTACTGGTTCCAGTGCTCTTTGGAGATTTTGTACAGGCTACCGAACATGATGGGAAGGATCTTGTCGATGTTCTCCTCAATGAGGCTGAGAATATACTCGTTATTCCAGAAATAAAGCGCTCGCTCTGCCACCTGTGGGGACAGACACGCACAAAAGGGTTTTTATCTGGTGAATTCACTTCAGGCCTGAACATGTGGAGGAGGAAAATACACGTGGTTGTCAGTTTATTAGGTACACCTAGCTAAAACTTTTAGGGAGGTGTTGATTCAACTGTATAAGAAGTGTGGAGGCCACTGTGTGGTGGTGGCTGCATTGCCTCCTAATGTAAATGAAGAACTTGACTTGTCTCCTTTCTGTAACTGCTTGTAGAACACTTTTCTTATCATTTGAGTTTTGTGTTACACTAGAGTGACCTGATGTTTACATATTCATAGACATTTATTCATGTGGATTTGCAGTATATAGTGGTTGATGTTTTTGCATTTGATCCATCCCAAACATAGTTTGCTTGTATAATCTATCATTTTGATTTGTGCAACATTTTTGTTGTTGGAGGTTATGACTTAAGTGTTTTAAGATGGCAAATATAAGAATGCCTGTGATTACAGGAAACCCCTTGGTGCACCTGCTGACTCACTTATTGTTGGTTCAAAGGACTCAACAATGAAAGAGGAGAGAAAGCTAAGTAAAAAAGGAAACTTCCCATAGATGTGGGTGTGTGAACCCTGTTTTATGGACAAAGACTAAGGCTGTAGAATGATTTGAAGCCTTGGAACAAACTGTCTATATACCTCTGTATGTTTATTTGTTTGAAGTGTACCTGAAAATGTGGATTGGCCACACATCTAGAGATCTGGTTGAACAAAGCCTCCTGGATTTTCTTGAATTGTGTTGGCTCAATCACATCCAGAACCTCCTCAATTTCACCCAGGAACATCACCTAATTGGACACAAGGTGCAGAAGATGAAGCAATATATTAAAATCTGGCTCAAAATACAGTCATACGTGTACAGCCAAAATACCTCTTTCTGACTGCAGGTTTTAGGCCAAAACTTGAGCAGACCGTGAATTACCTGCACAGAAAACAAAGAATTTTTTTTAGAATCCGTCTTTCATGTGAGGACAAAAAAAAAAAAAAATCATTTAATAGTCTGTTTGAGTGGGTGGTTGGTAGCACACGCTACACATTTCTCTGCAGTTCAGACCAATTTAGTGCTTGAGCGTTGTGCTTTGAGGGGGAGGAATGATTTTCTAAAAAAGTACCGGCTCAGTGAGCGCAGGATCCTTCTCCAGGAACTGCACCACACAGTACGCCAGCTGAGAAACACAAAAGAAAAAAAAGGTACATTTAAACTCTGTACCCAAAACACTGACGAACAGAAACCCGGTAACAGCTCATTACAGCAAAGCCCATCTGAGTAAACTTTAGCAGTTAGATAAAGTCAAGGTAAAACCAACCCAACAAAAAACTGACAACCTTTTACATTTCCACTGTGATAATTTAAAGAAATTGAAAATACACTAAAGCAATAATGATCAGTGAAGCAGTGCATTTCCACGTCAAAGCCACTAGAAGATGCCATAGTACAGTGATTTCATCATGACAGTGGTTAATCCTTGAAAAACAATCCCTAACAACTGCTATGACACAAATCAAATTTAATCAGATCAGCAGCTCAAGAATAAAAAGATGTTACATGGCAGGATATGCAGCCAAAATGAATGACTGTTTTTCCTACCTGTGCATGGAAAAGGGCCAGTCCTTTAGCTGTGTGTAACGGTATAAGCACCTTCACCAAGAATTGCTTGTGCTCTGCCTTCAGAGGCAAAGCAAACCCATTGATGATACTGTAAACAGAGAAACAACAGAGCAGGTAGATTACCAAACAGACAGACAAATCAGCAGCCCAAACCAAACACTGCAGGATCAGTGAAATATGGAGAGCAGCAAAAATACAGAAGAGAAGAGCCTGAGCCACCGTTTAGTTTTGGTCTGCAAGAGAGCACAGATGTCCACGTCATTGGGCACATGTAACATTCTGCCCGTGTAAAAAATGAAACTGTCCAAAGCAAAGCTGTGACAAAGCAAAGACCTGGTTTTTGTCACATTGGTAATTAAATTCATTAGTGATTGTTGTGCAGTGTTGTTTTGTCCATATTAGAACTGCAACTAATAATTATTTTCAATATTTGTGATAAATTCAGATTTATTCTTTTATCCAAACCACAGTCTGAAAGACAAAGATTTTTACACACACTGAGGAAGCTCAAACTACAGAAAATACTGTGCTGTGGTTTGGAAAATATCAGTCATTGCAACTCTATTCTACATGATGACAAACTTTGTCACCTGACTATATATCATTACTTACCTTCCCAGGATTTCTAGCAGCTCAGCAACTCCATTGAAGTGCTCCGTTTCATAAATGAACCTGCAACAGCAGCAAACACAGCGCCAACAGAAATCATGATCACAACATCACAGCTCTAAAAACAGAGCACACTAATCAGAACAACTGATTCAGTCTACTCACAGCACTGCGCTCCTTTTTAAAAGTGCCACCCTGATTTGGAAGTTGGGTTTTCTAAATAAAATGTCACTGGTGTCCCATGATGCTTGTGAAGCAAATAAACTCTACATACATACTTTACATAAAGTTTAAATTGATTCCAAAAAATGTAGCTGTCTGCCTGCACTGGCTTATAGAAAATAGGCCTTTTCTTTAACTGACAAGAAGTCGTGTTTACATAAATTAACAAGAGTTACCTGGAAAAATTAACAATATTTAGCTGGAAACCTAAAGACTTAACAATGACGCAATCATCCATATATTATCTACTGTCTGGTAACCCATTTCCATCTCACTGTGCACCGATGGCATGTACAAACAGAGCCTGACAACTGTGGCACTATTTTTATCCTCAGTGGCAGATGGTCAAAGGGGGTGCACCCGTTTTGCCACCTTGTTTGCTGGAAATGACATCAAGTGTTCCCAGTTCCAATCATCTAAAACCCATTGTCATGCAGCAACAGGAGCCACAAAGAGTCAACACACTGTTGTTGGAAATCTGATATCTCCATCTGCACTCACTCGTTTCTTTACTCTGTCTTTGAGAGGTGGGTTGAATCTGTCTGTTGCTTTCACTGAATGAAAAGTGCTACGAAGCTCTCTCAGGGGAAACTATTTGTATAATCACAACAGTTTTTAACCTGCACAAGAATCCTCAGTAACAAATCTTTTCTAAGAGATTATTGTTTGGCCTTTTATTTAATAGTGGGCAGTTTAGAGAGAGAAAGGAAACAAAGAGAGAGAGAGGGTTATGACATTCAACAAATGTCTTCAAATCATGAAGATCACAGTTATGTGGTGTGCATCTTGACCATGGTGCCACCAGTCACCCCAGTAAGAGCCCTTTTTTGACCAAACAGTACCAGGAACTACGGGAGCAAAGGAACTAAACTCTGAAAGCAGAAGCCAAAAGATAAAATAAAGAACTGAACAGTCTTGTTTATATTTCCACCAAAACTGAAAAATTGTGAAAACTAAGCAAATTACATCAATAGTAGATTAAAAAGCATGTTGTTTACATCAACACAAAGACAACAAGTCATTCATTTTAAACTGAACATTTCACTCACTGCAAGAAAATGTTGTTGATCTGCTTCCTGATGAAGGCTCGCAAGCCCAGGAACTTTCCATAAATCCGATGCAAGATGGTCTTCAGGGTGTCCCTCTCCCTTGGGTCCTCACTATCAAACAGCTCCAGGAGCTGCAACGACAGGCAGTGCAAAAGACAAATATACACTATGTTCTCAGTCCTGACTCATTTGAAAAGGTTTTTCAGTAAATCAGTAATGGCTGATTATGTCATGGCTCGAATCTTGTGTATTGTAGCCATTGTATATTGTAGTTCACCCTTATTTGAATTAATGGGATTAATGTGTATTTTTTTTAGATTATGATGTGCCCGGATTAATTAATGCAAAGTCAGCGTATGACCTTATCGATCAATCAATGACCCGCTAACCTGGAGACTGATTTCGTCACTTCACAAATTTTTTATTTAACTTTTATTTTCCCAGGAAGTCCCACTATGTTCAAAATCTTTTTTTTTAAGGGAGGCCTAGCCAAGGCAGCAGCCATACAAATATACAGCATATTAAAATTCAACACATACAACAGTATACAAATCTCATCATCAATAGTTACTTGTTTACTCGTTCAGTACCAGGACTTTGCTGGGTGGTATGATGCCATTTGCTCATTTTCCCTGAACCTTAACAAATCCATTATCTTTTTTCAATAAACAGACTCATTTCTTCTGACATTAGTCCTGGGGCTCTTTAATTAAGGCAATGTGGGGGACCGCCATTAAAAAGAGCTGTGAAACCATAAATACTAATAGTGTTCCATCAGCACGGGCTCCTTTAGTCGAGCCAAGCGAGGCTGGCACAGGTTAGCCGCCGTTTACACCTGTTTCTAGCAGCAGGGGTTAATTGTGCTGATTCAGGCTCAGCCCTGCTTCTGCCCAGGGTCGAGTGAGGCTGAGGTCCGCCTTCAACAGAGCCAGCTCATTGAGACGTAATTACCTGAAATGTTGTGCTGAGGGAACGTCCTCACATTAAACATTACTTTTTATCCATTATTTCACTGCAGAAAAATTTGAAAATGGAGTGTCTCACTTCATCTTGGATAAGACCAAATTTATGGTATTTGGTAATCGACGGCTGGATAATCAACTCCAATTAAGGGTAGGGGGAGTTAATATAGAAAGTGTATGAAATCAAATTTCTAGGTGTTATAGTTGATGATAAAATTTGCTGGAAATCTCACATCAAAAATATACAAAACAAAATGGCCAAGAGCATTTCTATACTGGCAAGGGTTAAACATATTCTGGATTGGAAAACACTCCATATTCTGTATTGTTCATTGATTTTACCATATTTAGATTTTTGTGTTGAAAGCTGGGGAAACACATACAAAAGTACACTTCAGTCATTGTACATATTGCAAAAAAGGGCAATAAGAATTGTCCATAAACTTGGATATCGGGATCAGACTAATGCATCAGTCATACAGTCTAAATTGTTAAAATTTTTTGATTTAGTGGAATATTAAATGTTGGTGTTCATGTATAAAGCTAGGAACAATTTATTACCAGGTGGAATTCAAAAATTGTTTAATGAAAGAGAAGGGGGATATAATTTGGCATTATCAATAATGCACCATTGTCACTCACTGCACGTTTATGTACTTTGAGGGCATAGATTCAGCCTCAGCCTCTGCTGTCTCACACCTAATGACTCCATAAACAGAGCAGATACCAAGAATCTTTTCTGGACTTACACAGAAATGCAATATGCCATATCTACAGGAACAATAACAGACAAGCCCAGATCGAAGAGTGAGAGATGCCCCTTATCTATTTATTTTTGTACTGTACTTTTGAGCCACCTCTTCTTCTTCTTCTTCTTTCGGCTGTTCCCATTAGGGGTTGCCACAGCGAATCATCTGTTTCCACCTAACTTTATCCTCAGCATCCTCTACTCTCACCCCAATTAACTTCATGTCCTCTTTTAGCACATCCATATATCTCCTCTTTGGCCTTCCTCTTGACCTCTTGCCTGGCAGCTCCAACTCCAACATCCTTCTACCAATATGGTACCATGGTCTAAGAAAGGGGGTAGGACTAGATAAGTGTATACTTCTTCCTACTCCCTTTCAAGCATGTACTATTGGAATGTTGTGATGTCTTATGCGTATTTGTTGAAATGTCTAATCAATTTTGTTTTTCGCAATATCAATTTTCTTAGTTTTACATGCTTGGAAGAAACTTAAAAAAAAAAAAATCTTCTGATGAGGGGTTAAAATAACACCTAGCATCAAGGGCTCCAAATTGCAAGCTAGTAACATCACACAAACATCGTGAGTTATGTGTCTCTTCTCAGAGGCTCACACCACCCCCATGTGAACTTGATGCAGAAGATCAACAGTGCAGTCAAAACAACTGCACTGACTTGGCAGGACTGCCCTGTGATAATGGAAAAACACCATTAAATACTGCTGGGTTATATGGCCTATCCAAATAGGCATTTTAAACCTAAAATGATATCTTTTGGCCACTAGGGGGCAGAGAAAGGTTGGGAGCACACCACTGACATATCATTTTTCAAGTTTGATATGGTACATGTGCTACCAAGCAGTTGCTTATTTACACATCACTACAAGTGAACCCTTTCACACTATCATTTGATGCATCAATATTATAAAAATATAGATTTGATCTGTTTTAACAACTGTAAGGAGGTCATCCCAAAATAAGTTTCAATAATTACATCATGTCTCACCAGCTATCAACATCTTTTATAATAAACATACAGTGTTTCTGCCTGTGTGCTCTGTAATGCAATCAGATTAGAAACCTCTGGGACAAAAGAGCTGTTTGCAATAACATATGTAACAGTATGATGAGTCATTATTAAGGTACTGTTAAGGATAGCTAAATTAGTGCCACAGAGCTCAGAAGGAATGATTTCAGGCTCAAATGAGCTTCTGAATATGTAGTATTTATCTTCCACTTACTTGCCATCAGCACCTCAGTGACAGGACTGACCTGACAGTCTATTTTTAAACCTGGATATATCCAGAAAAAGGGTTTCATCATGCACCCGTTTTTTTTTTTTCCTGCACTGTACAGATTCACATTCATTCAGCTACAGCTGTTAAACCCTGGGAGTTAAATGATGCAATGAGCCTTCAGTGTGTTGTGTCCTTGTAGCAATTGGAGCTGTATTCAAAGCTTTTCCCATTTTCCATTCGGATTTTCTCAGATCAGAGCAACCAACAAAATGAGCCTTCTCATGACAAGTGCCAACACTCTACCATAACCTTCTAAATCTAGTAGTGCACTAGATGATAGCTGCATCTTTCTCCCATTAGCTTTACATTGCCAGGGCTATCTAAAACAAAGATGTTGCCTCCAAGGCTGTTGCCCAGAGCAAATTCACCTGTGGTACATAATATCAGAAACACTTGCTGCTGTCATAGTGTATAATACAAGATAACAGACTTACATACGGGCAGAAAGCACAGACAGTGGAATCTAATCATTTCAAGTCTACACATACAGAGTAACTGTGATGCAAATACAGTATGAGCCTGACCACACACATGGCGTTTGGTAGGCTACATCTTCATTAGTGCACAAAAACAAAATTTGAAATCCTCCACATTTTATAATAAACCATCAACAGAGAAAATAAATTTCTTGTGCCAACACACACACACCCCTTAACACTTTTCCCATGCTCGCTCTCTCTAAAAAAACTTGTCTATGCTTTACAGCACGCTCAAAGCACTTTCATACTACTTGGCCATTCACCCATTTGCACTCTCAAACACACACATTATTACTGGGAGCAACTGGGTGTTCAGTGTCTTGCTCAAGGATACTTTGAAATGTTGACTGGATAAGCCGGGAGTCCAACCGCTAATCCTCCGGTTAGGAAACGACTCGCTCTACATCCTGAGCCACAGCTGGCCCTGCTAAAATTTTAAGAATGTGCTTGAAGTGTCTGTAACAGACATACCATGTTCATGGCCTCACAAAGCACTGTTCAAATTGGACATTAAACATTTTTTGCTCTTAGGTGTTGTGTCACATTTTAGTGCAGGATTCCCCCATACTAAAAATGTGTCCTCCCTTGAGAAAGCCAACCTCCTTTTCTCTGGTCCTGAAGAATAAACAACAGACAGCTATTTAAAGCTTCCCCACGACACACTCACATCATGGAAAGTCAGTCTAGGCACCTCGGATGTGACCCAGCCAGCATTCCGGGCTCTGTGGCCTCTTTCTGCAGCTTCACATGAGAAATGAA